AGGCGCTTTCCGGTATGGCTTTGAGTTCCCTCTGCGAATTCTGTTTTACGTCTTCTATGGATTCAAAACGCGTTCCTCTGAGTGGTAATTTGAGGTTGGGAAACAGGAAAAAGTCACACGGTGCAAGATCAGGTGAATACGGTGGCTGTTCGATGGTATTTATTGAATGTTTGGCCTTAAAATCGTTGATAATGTTGAACAAATTGAGGTGAATCGGAACAAGCCGGGCGTTGACACGTCGCATACACAAATTGTCCACCAAAATCAAACGAGCCATCTCACGACCGATGCCTAGCTCTCGTGCTATCTCTCTAACACTCACATGAGGATTTTTGAACACGATTTCCTTTGCCTTTTCAATGTTTTCGTCGGTGGTAGAGGTCGAAGGTCGTCCAGAACGCGGCATGTCTTCGACGGTCGTACGACAGTCCTGAAAGGCTTTGTACCACTCATAAACTTGAGTTTTCGATAAAACTGATTCCCCATAAGCCTTTTGTAGCATTCGCAACGATTCTGCACACGAAATTTCGTTCGAAAAACAAAATTTGATGCAAACTATTTGTTCAATATTTTTTTCCATTGTTTTTTTCGCAACGCACTACTGAGGTGAACTGGTTTCAACAGCTGCCGTACGAACTGTCTGACAGATCGCGCTCATATTTGGCATAGTAATTAAGGACAGTGCTGCCAAACTACATAAACTTAAAATATCGAAAAATATACAGCGCGCGAATTTTAAATGAGAATTTCCGAAAACTTTTCGGTCACAATGTAATTGTTCATAATGGCTACAATAATGGCTCATAATTGACTACAAGTACTAACGGTTGGACTCAAACTCAGCTAAGTTTTAAGCATGGGTTCAAGTTTTATACACCAAGAAGACAAGATTGGCTTTTCTAAAGATGAAAAAAGTGGTTTGTTTCCAGGAGTTATCCTTATATTAAGAATACGGCTGCTGAAATGCTATAGTTTTCTTAGTATAGTAAGTAACTGTTGTGTCGATGAATATTTTTTGAGACCTTCGAAATGCGATTTTGTCGATGTGTGCTTAAAATCATTAAAAAAAGAAAGAGAAATGTTGGAGACATTGATAAGTAGAATACTTCGGTATTACCTTAAGGCACAAAATCTCCCAACAGAAATCCTGATCCAGTGGTATTTATTGAATAACATAAATCAGATTTTTTTATTTTTTATGTAATAATTTATATATTATATTTATTAAAAAATTATAAATTAAAACCTAAAGGAATACGCTTTTGAATATTTTGATTGAATTTTTTGCGATGACTCTGGGAAGGCTGAGGATATCCCAACAAACCACAGCTCCAACGAAACTGTGTTTTTACAGTTTAACTAAACCGATCATTGATCAGTGGATCAGTTCATTTAGTTAAAGTACAAGATCGCTACTTCATTAATATAAGGATATAATAAAAATACCAATAATGTTAGTCAATGTTTGAAGGAAAAAACGTTCTTGGAACAAGTAGAAGATGAAGAAGAAGAAGAGGATGAAAAAGAAGAAGAAGACGAATTTTACAAAGAATAAGAATAAGAGCATGAAGATAAGAAAGAACACAAAGAAAATGGAAATAAAAAGGACGAAGCAT